AACCGTCCAGATGACCTGACTGAACATTGTTGGATTTATATCTATATTAATGAGCATGAACTTGAACCACTTTGACATGGTCTGCCTTAGAGGAGTTGATGGGGGAGAAGGCGGGCCCCGGAGGCCATCTTATCACCATCAAACAGTTTTTTTTTTCCACTATGGAAGTGAACAGTTTGTGGGATTCAGTTTGGTTTGGTGGGCTCCTCAGACTGAAGAAGTCCTTCGGATGAAAGACGAAACGTCTCAGCAACAAAATAAACTGTCCAGATGACCTGATGGAACATTGTTGGATTTATACCTGGATTATTGAGCAGATCCTCCATTACCATCCCCTGATGAAAACAGTTCAGTGTTCTAGATCAGCAAAGTGTAGATGTTGTATCTTGAGTTTTCCTGTCCCAAAGCCAGTAAGGTGGTAAAATTGAAGATATAAGTTAAGGCTCCAGACCACAGGAACTATATACTGTAGATAGAAAAGACCTCTCTTTGACAAAGTGCTCAATTCAGATACATTTATGGGATTCCTGGCACAAGCCAAACCTCTGAGCAAAACTTAATGTTAGTCTGTTTAGTCCATTCAACAACTGGTTCTGTTGTGCGTTTGAGGTTCTCGTCCTGTTGGGACCCTCTGGTTGTGTTTTATCTGTCTGGTTGCTGGTTTGAGGTTAAACAGGAAATTTTTGAGGTGGTCTTCTCTGGGTACTATGATTCTGGCACTCGATGCTACCTTTGCTACATTTAGTAACCCTACGATGTTCTTGGCATCAACTGGCTCAGTTGTACCCCTCCATGCACATTTCTAATCACTGTAGCCAGACAGCAGCATTTTTGTCTGATATAGCCATAAAACATTCCCCTCAAGGTCATCTAGGGATGAATGGTGTTGATTTTGGAGCAGAATCTTTTCTATTTCACGGTATATAGTGATATAAAACTTATTGGACTGTAGACGGTAACACCCGTGTCCCAGCAGCTTCATGTTCCCGCAGATTTAAACTATATGTTCATTGGTTGTTTCTGATGACTCAGGCTGATTTACTCTCAGCTGAGTGTGCAATTTTGGTTTTCAGCTAGACTTTGACAACATGGCTACACATCTTATTAACTGTAAAATCATTACAACCATCCACCTCTTGAGAAAGTTCTGAGAAAACTTTTAAAGTTTATTGTTGTCATAACCTTAATGTCCATAGTACAAAGTATAAATTATCAATATAAATTAGATGTAAGTCCTATAACCTTTGAATAATGGGATCTTCAGCACTCAGTTCATGTTCACTGATAGTTGGCATTTGTTTTTAGCTCAGCTCCACGTTAAGTCACAAAGCAGAATAGGTATATTAATAAAAGGAATAAACTGTGATTGTTTCTATACTTTTTTTGCGTAGTTGCTGATTTAAAGGGCTCGTTGGTTTAAATATAAAAATAAATAAATAATTTAATAACCCTGCTTCGTCAGACAAACCCAGGGAGAGAAAGAAAACACACCATCACTTTTGACTCCCATTTTTATAAGGTCAGAAAGGATGACACATGGTGATGGTAATAACAACAGAGTGAACTAAATTCATTTACAGCTTTAGCTGTTTGCTTTGGCTTGCAGTATTTTTATATAGCACTCGGTCTTGCTTGCTGAGTGTGAACCCTCCGTGTTGAGGTGTGGAACCTGAATCAAGAATGTGTCAGATATTACCATGGGGATTTATTTGTACTTTTTTTAAAGCTCCTGCGTTTATGCAATCTCATCTTTGTTATATCGGACTATCAACACCTGCAATCAGTCAAATCACGAGTTGCAAAAAGCCAAACATGAAGTGAGGAACTGTTTGCACAAGAAGAAGCGATCTTTTGCTTTGTAAGTACAACTGAAAGTATGCGTGTGTGCGTTTATAAAATGTGATTGTAAGTTTAAACTGACAGCCTTTACAACCTCCTCGTTTAAACAGTTCGTCGATTTGTGGTGTGCTGAAGTGAGACTCTGCTCACCTGTGAAGTTTAGCCATCAGATCGACTGTGTTTGGCTTCTTGTAAGGAGTTAGAGAAAAAGTGATGGTTCTAACATGTTAGCTCATTTAATGCATGAGATTAGGAAGTGTTACAACTTTAGACTTGAGTTGCCTCCTGAAACCAGAAAAGTTGGTAAAAAATAAAAAAACTGTGAACATATGAATTACATGTTTGATTTTAGCTTTTATTATTGTTGTTTCTTTACACCACAGGGATCTCCAGGAGCACCAGGGAGGAATGGTCTGAAGGTAAGGTGCTCCAAACCAATATTTAAAACCAATATTGTCCTTTCTGTGCATTTATAACGTTTCTGTTACGAGGCATGATAATCTGCACAAGTTAATCCTCCTAGCTAACAAACCTTTTAAGCAGCATAATACTTCAGCTTTCGGTCTATTTGATTAGACCTGTGTTTGAGGTCATTATATTTTCAGTGTGGTATTGAGTGAAATTTAGTTTCTTTACTTTTAATAAAAGACCAAAGTCTCCTCCTTTTGTAGGATGACAGAATCAATTTAGTCTGAGAGCAGATAGTTCAGCCAACTACTGGACAGTCAACTTTGAAACATAATCCGGTCTTAAAGCGACATGAAAAATAAAGTCTCTGATCCAGAAACTCCAAGCATAAAAGCCCAAGTGATTCTCAGACTGTTGGATCTCAAAACATTGTTTGCTTGTTTTTTTTTTCAAGCAAGCGTATGGAAAGACTTAGGTGCATCTGCCTTATTGACACCATTCCATGGTGTTCTTTCAGTAGATCTGGGATGTTTGTGTGGATAGATTTGAGGATGATGGTAATCTGCCTCACTGAGGAACAAATCCAAGCCACCTGCCAAAACACTGGCAGCCTTGATGTGATCCTGACCTGCCTCACAGCTGTAACAGTCAGAACCTTGTGCACCACTTCAAATTAACAAGTTATTTTTAAACCTGAGCAGGTTACTGTGTAGGGTCGTACTCAGGATGTGGTTTATTATGGAACTCTTTTACACGTGGGAATGTAAAGTTGGTATCTTCTTGATAGAGTTAATAAAATACCATGAGCACAAAGTTACTGTAATTAGTGCTGTCGTTAGACTTCTTCTTTTTTTTTGTTTTACACTGATCATTGGCATGAATGGGACAGCAATATTTGACTTTCATATTTTTTGTCTATTTTTCAAATTAAACATTATTTTTTGGCATTTTTCCTAGTTTAAATATTTTCTTGAAATTATTTTGAAATTTCTGGGACATGTTTTGGCTGAAATAATTCAAAAAAGTAATAATAATAATCAAAATAACAGTATCATCACCCAGCTCTGTTCATAGTAGCTGGTTTAAGGAGATAAAAGAAACTGAGCCCCATGGGTCGAGACCTGGTCAGCAGGTGCTTGCAGACCCCCCTCCATCAGGCCTGTCTCCAGGTTGGGGCCCTGGTAACTCATGTCCATTCAAGTGACTGAGCTCCTTGCTGTTTTCTGTCCATAAAAGTCTTTGGAATCGCTCTTTGTATGGCATGTCACCTAGGACCAATCTGCCTTGAGAATTACAAATGCCCCTAACAGCAGAGCTCCTAGGATCATTCAGGTTTTCAAACTCCTCCACCACGAAGGTGGTGATTCAATGAGGAGGCCTGCTTTTCTATTAAATTCTCAGTGTTTGTGCTCTCTTACACATCCTCCTACTCCCTGAAAAGTTTACTAAGTTGAATTGTAGCACTTTTTCTCATGCTACCTCCCCTCATCTACTGTAATTCATCTTAACTAAGTATTTGTTTTCTTTTCTCAGGGGGACAGAGGAGCTCCTGGACCTGTTGGACCACCAGTAAGAACAAAGCAGATGCCACACTATTGTAACATGTTACTTTATTTTTGTTAAACTAAAGCAGGCTGTATATAAGGCAGGTGACAGTGAGACTACTGTATGTAATAAACACTAACTTTTAAAAATGGCTTTATATTTTCTGTCCATAATCCTTAGGGCACCCCAGGCTCCTTTGACTTCCTGCTTCTGCTGATGGCAGATATTCGCAACGACATAGCTGAACTGCAGAGCAAGGTGTACGGTCAGCCAGTGAACTCCCCAGAGGACATTCCTTCTGTCCTCGATAGCTGGAGAGACACGCAGGACAGTGAGGACACAGGCTCAGGATTTGAATATAAAGACCCTCCACCTCGTAGCCGAGGGTCCAGGAGGAGCAGGAAGAGAAATCCAATACGAGACAGAAGAAACTGAACAGACTCGATGTGAAGACTCGTATTAAATATTTTCTGTTGGGTGTATATAATTAAGTTTTCTGCTTTTTATTTAAGGAACTTTATTTGTATGTTTTATTTTTGTTTTTTGTTTTTTTTCACAAATGCTTTATTTTTGTATGTTATACAGGATTTTGTTTGTTCTGGACCAAATGTGAATAAACTGTGCCAGTACGTGAGTTTTTATTTTATTTTATTTGTTTTAAAACACATTTTTCTAGAGTCATTAAGCAAGTTTTATTTTTGTGACATCGTTATTATTTATTTCACATAAATTATATAAGAAACTGAACTTCCTAAAACCAAAGTATTTTAGTCACACATGCATAAATCTAAGAGGTTGTTAATTTATTTCCTAAAGCAACACTCGTTTCTCTGCCAAGTCATTTGTGTTCAGGGAGCGTCGACTTCCTGATCAACAATTATTCACATTGAACTCACACTGAGAAGTGATGGTCTTTGAAAAATGTACTTAATGAATAGGAAAATTAATGTTTACTAGTTTTTTATATATAAAACATTATATGATCAGCTACTAACAATCCTGACTAACTTTTTGGTCTTTCCTGTTTTGCTGTGTTTATGATCTATTAAATTGGAGATTCTGAACAGTTGAAAACATTTTAAGCTTTGCCTCAATTCTCCACCAGGAGGAGACGTCACATCGATTTAAAGCACTTACAATGTTTTGGATTGTTAGTTTTTTTCTAGTTTAAGAAGTCTATTGCTTTTGCAAATTTTACCATTGGCAGAAAACAAGATGTCAGAATAATCACGTTATTTATTTTTTCAAAATTGTACTTTAGGAACAAACATACATGGATTTTTCAATTCAATCCAATCATAAAGAATAGTCTCATTGAGACTCGAGGACTAATTGACAAGAGAGACCTGTTTTGAACAAAGAAAGAACACAGACGGCAACAGTAGACAATCATAAAAAACATATAAAATGAAAAGTAAATGGAAGAAATTATATTTAAAAAAACAGCTACATGATAAAGCGATACAAAATACTAGAAACAGGAACGTCTGCGTTGGTTTTTGCCATGAGTTTAGCAGCTGTTTTGACAATTAAACGAGGACTTGGCTTTATAAGTAGCCTGCAACATACAACCTTGCAAGATCAATCTAAATGTACTGTTTGGAAATATTTTATAAGAATTGTCCTCATTGTTTCTCCTCCTTTTGCTGAAACTTGGTGAACAACTGCTTGAAGTAAAAATTTGTTATCAAGTTGCAAGCTGGATTTTGGATGGGATTAAGATTTGTCGTTAACTCATAAAATGTGTTGTGTTTTATTCTTTGACTTTTGTTTCATAATCACATTTCTTGTGTTCTTTTCTGCTTTTGTTTGGAAGAAGAACAGTTTTCGCAGAGTGAAATGTGCACCACAACACTGATTTTTTAAAAATGTGATTCACAATTTCAGCAGAGTAAGTGTATTTATTTTTATCTATAAGTTACTATTCATGATTGTTTGTGTTTTCTGGTAAAGACCAAATCATTATCATTAGGCAAAATCACTGAACTGGAGGATTTGCCTTTATCCATGACTATTAATATTCACCACACAAAGCATTAATATAACACAGCCGAAAAGAGAAAGGTCTTACTAAAGGTATATACCCACCAGGTGCATATACAGATAATGCATTTTTAAATCAAAATATAAATCGATATACTAAATAAACTCGGAGCAGCTGCTGTAAAACGTTGTTAATATATCTTTGTCCACTAGGTGGCAATCATCTCAAACTGAGACTCAGGCTACAGTGTGCAGCACAAGTGAACTCATTAAACTTTGTAGTTTTGTTCAACACAGTAATTAAAAGACAAATGAGAATAAAATATTGTAGGAATATTCATCCAGTGTGGATAATGTGCATTTCTTAGTTATTTTAGGACTCTGTGCCATTCGATATTTTTGCAGAGCAGCAACTGATCAATGTATTTTAATTCAGAAACTAACCTGGACAAATTTTAGGAACTTCACTGCCGAGATGCAAAAATTATTAATTTTTATCACCTTCTCTGTCAGATTTTATGATTAAAAAAAAACAAACACAAAAGCAGATTTGTGATATTTTTAAGGCTTAGATTCACTTTATGTGACAGCTCTCACAGAAATACATTTTATATGAACAAATTTGCAATATTTTCAGCACATTTCCAGTTGTTTATCACAAAGGTTGAATGCCACCTATTTTAAAACAGTGCATGACTGTTTCGTCATCGTTTCACAATTTTGCCATTTTAAAAATAAAAACTTGTGCACATTCTTTATCTGTGCTGATCTGAGCCATGAATTTAAAAAAAAAAAAGCACAATATAATTCTCTAAAATCCCTTCTGGAAGTAATTAATCACCATCAAACAAAGACAAGCCTTAAAAGATTCCAAATATTTACTCAAGTGCCCCCTTATCCCTAATTATATCTCCCTGCTCGTTCCCGTCATTATTTAGAACTACCCACAAAAAGATGCAACGCTGAGCGAGGACGCACACACTTCCACGAAAAATGTTTGATAGTGAATAAGCGAGTTACTGTGCTCCGATAAAGGCCTTAATGAGGTAATTTTATTAAAAGCGGCCTACCCAGAATTGTTTGAAACAAGCAGGGAGCAGCAGGATAGAGAAAATTGGTGCAACCCAGTTCATTAATTAATGCATTAGGGTGGGCGGCAAATTAACTGCTCCAAAAAAAATCCTCTATTCAGGGAAGATGTTGATGGAAAAAATACATTGTTGCCCTTCAACATAATTACAAGACAGTGCAAATTCAATTCTAATGAGGCGAAAGGCACCCCCTTAACATGCATCCCCTATTTCCCCCTCTGAAAAGGGCTCGCTCTTGCTGAGGCCTAAGTTTAAGGAAGTATTGAAGGAAAAAGACAATACTGAGAGATCGGCTCGAGCCTGAGTGCTTTACATGCCACAAACAGGTAGAAGGGATTGAATGGTTCTCTTTCTGGGACTCCTGGGGGGCCTGTCTTCCCAGCACAACAACACTTGGCCCTGAGAAAAGGGTCCGCTGAGGAGCACGGTGAGTGAATAGACCTGTGCCACTGAATGGCCACAAGTTCTTCAGTGATTAAAAACTATGTTGTGCAACCCCTGGGGGCTCCACACATGCACACAAACACACAAATCCACACACACAGACAGCCCTCACCCGTCCAGCTCTCCCTCTCATCGAGTTATCTTTACTCAGGCTTTGTCTCCTCTAATTGGAGCTGATGAGTGACTAATTGAAAGCTTTTTTACAACACCCAACACTTAAGCGATGGCAAACTGAGGGAGGCAGCATGAGCAGAGTTAATGAGAGGCTTTGCGCAAATAAAAGCTTTAAAATAGGCCTGTCTCTCCGAATAGAGGTAAAAGGAAAGTTGAGGATATCTTTTGTTTGCTCCACATCTTTCACTTATGTGCAGGTATCTATAAAGGAGGAGTGGTGGAGGGCACACAGTGGCTGCTGAAACGGTGGGCACTTGTGCGCATAAAGGGATCTGTTCTGTATTGTTGGGAGCCCATCGTTTAGTGTGTCTGCTAATAATGAGAAAGGGGGCTGCTCCTCAAATGAATGTGGCAAAGTCCTCGAGGGACAATAGGTGCCCGCTCTTGCTTGGACCACACTGGACTGTGCTGAAGCAAAATGAAATAAAGGTTACGTCCTTTCCGCATTGTTCCAGGTGAGTATGTGGCCTGTGTGCACAGAACTGAGACAAAAAATTATACAGCACAAAACTCCATGCAACGCTGAGGCGAAATATTGTTAGATTAAATGACTTGAAATATTATAAATCAGATAGTTTCTTTGAAAACCAAATGCATTATTTAAATCGGTCAATCTCATGAAATTAAACAAGTGTCATAATTAGAAATAGTGAGAAATTAGAGGGTCATTTAATAATTTTAAAAAAAGCTTTTATAGTAAGAGGCCCGATTTACATGGTGATGGCAAATGTAAAAGCACATTGGCTTAACTGTGATGTTGAAATTCCAATGTATGCAGATGACACCATCATATATGCATGTTCAGTTCAGTTTATTTATACAGCGCCAAGTCACAACAGAAGTCGTCTCAGGGCACTGAACAGAAACATTCACATACATCATTAAAGCCAATTGGTAAAAGTTATCTATCATCTTCACTTCATTGCAGTCTCCCATGCACACATGGAAAAGACACTTAAGTTGCTGTCAGGCTGTCACATTCTGTATGACTTATACACTGAAATATTATAAAGCTACTTTTAGACGTGCGTGTATATAAGCATGGTGTGTTTGAATGCAGTGGTAGTGTCTCAGGTTTATTACTGCATCATTTATTCTCAAGACAGAAACTTAAAAAAGTTGTGTTTCTTTTAATCAATCTTTTAAAATACTGGATCAAAAATTAGTAGCATCTCAGTAACATACTAACTCAAACATAAAATATTTAGCCAGGCGCTGTATTTTACTCTTCTGGAAATCCCCTACACCTCCATCTAATCTACATCACAATGGCTTAACACTGTAAGATCATTCTTGAAGATAGAAAAAACTTTATTAACAGTGAAAGGCAGTTCAGCAAAATTTACTCTCAAGTGGGCACCCTTTATGACATACATAAAATCTCTGCCTTCATAATGCATAGACTGATGTGACTGACTCATCACGTCATCATGTGACTAAATTTTAAAGAATAAATAAATAGGTAAAATACAGTTACACTTTAGCTTCTCAATGATTCTCTTTTAGGGGCAGAGATTTTTTAAGCGTAGCGGAAATGCTACTTGAAGAGGCAGCTCGTGTGTGATATTAAGAAGCTTGTGGCTGTTGTGTTTAAAACTAGTGTTTATGTAATTAATTTCAGTTTACATATCCAGTATAAGTTTTATTTGTTCAAGGCAGTCCTATTTGTTCATAACTTTATTATTAGTATGCTTGGATCCAGTAACTCCCAGGCTACCGGAACGCACCCTGTCAAAATAAGAG